TAAACACACATGGAGGACTCTCTCATCCTTGCATCCTTGAAGCCCAGAACAGAGGCAATGAAATGTTTTTGAAAAGCTGTCAATGCTGAGTGCTTGGGTATTCTTGTTAAAATATTCTACTTTGTATTTCTCCAATAATCACTAGTTCAATCTTAAGCATTTATTTTGTTCCTACCATGTGTCTGATAACATGCACAATCCGGCTAACAGCATCTCTTCCTTTAAAATTCTAAGATCTGCATCTTACAGTTAATTATGGGGGTTATGGGAATAGTATGTATTCAAGTCTTGGGATAAATAAGAATTTCATTGTATAGTCACACAAGTGACTGTTTTATTTATTTATTTATTTATTTTTAATAAAGCATCTTAAAGTCCTTTGGTTAAGACCTGTTGCAGTTAAGGAAGTAAGGTCAAACTATTTTTAAACTGGGGAACCATATTCTAAAGGTTTTCTGTTTCTTTAGAGCAAGCACATGCAGTCACCAACTCCTGATTCCATTCTGAAACATGGTTGGACAGGGTGGGGGTAACATTGGTTTGGGTGACCTACAGGAGTCATGGGTGGCAGTCTGTCATTCTGCTGCCTATCATTGCATATGAACTTCTCCCTCCTCCCTCTTTTCTCTTGCATTTGTTCTTTTCCTTCTTTCCCCCTCCCTGCTCTGATGACCATCAACCCATACATACATAGCCTTAGCCATTACTGAGCACCTGCCCTTGGCACCAGAAAGGCTTGTTCCCCTTTAAGCCTAGACTATTTAAAACCCAACCTCCAGTGTGTAGTATGAAGGATGGGAGAAGCATAACTGGCCCAGTCTCTGTTCCCTTGCCTCAGCCCCTATTGGGTGAGGGTCACTGCTGCTTTGATGGGCACAAGCAGAAAAACTTGAAGAATACACTCTGCTTTGGGTAGGCCAGACAAGAGGCTTGGAAATAAGGTCTGAACTTCTGCTAATGGTTTCCTGCCCACTGTTGCACAGCTAAGGAAGGGAGCAAGCAGTGGTTGCTTTCTACCAAGTGTTACGTAGCGTGCCGGTAAGCCACCTTAGCCAGCTGTTAACTTCCCCAGAGAGTTCTCCAGGTTCTACTGAGGTGGTGAACTTTGGCCCTGATGTATTGGAACAGTAGCATGACCTTACTGTTGATGTCGCGTGTGATTCTCAGGCCTGGAAGGTCCAAGAGCCTATTGCAGTGGGAGGTGTCGGAAATGCGAAGTCGCCTGTGTATACTCACTGTGTTAAAAATGTCAAGAACAAGGCAGGGAATAATGCCAGGGGAAGATTGCCTTCTGTTCTGTGGGAGGCAGGTTATAAAATGTTAGAGGCACACGTTTGCTTTCATGTGTCTGCTTGATTGCAAGTCTAATCTGTTGTCTGCTTAAGCTCAGGAGAACTGATAGGAGTATAATATCCAAGAACCAGAACCACTGCAGGGAGCTCTGATGCTACCTTTCCCTGTCCCAGAGGACTCTCCCGCTGCTGCTCTGAAAGGAACTTAGAGTCAACCAATCCAGGTGTGCTCAGTGAGCCTCCTTGGAGGCTCAGCTTGCCAGGCTGAAAGATAATGAGGAATATAGAGACTGCACCTGCCTGGGAGTGTCTGTGGTCCACACCGAGAGAGCCCTAAGGTTGCTTCCAGTTAGCACTACTTTTCAAGAACGTGAGCCCCATTTTCTATTTCTTATACATACCATCCTGATGCATAGACCTTCCTGGATTTACAAAAAGTAAAATTCTTTCTTCTGAAAAACTTAGTCCTGGCCAATGGTTGAAAGGAGGCAACACCCCACATAGAAATGTATACCTGTCCCTGTTAAAAGGCAACAGACTGTGTGTGGAGTTCACTACATCCACGGCGTAGGAGGCAGAAACTACACCACTGTCTTGGTTTTAATTCCTGAGATTGGAACCTAGATGGTTATCAGGGATGTGATCTCAGGAAACACAATGAGGGATGGGGTAAACAGGGCAGGAGGATAGAAAACCAATAAATGCCAACAAAAGCTGTTGGGTTTCCCTCCCACTGGAGTCCATTTCCAAATCTCAGTGGAACACACCTCAGTTGTTCTTTTGATGGGCAAGGAAACTGAGACATACTATTTCACCAGCTGCATTCCTCCTGGGTTAAGAGTGGCTCTTGGCACCCTTAACTCCAGATCCTCTCTGGGGGATGCCTCATGCAAAGTCTTAGCCAACTTCAGTGCTCAGAAAGAGGGCTCAGACAAAGAGCCAAGAGTTTTAAGAGGCCATGGTGTACTCATGAAGCTGTAAATGACCTCTAAGAGGATCTGTTCCTACAACCATTATGAACACGAAAAGGTTCCTCCTCACGTGTGTTCGCAGGCATATGTATGTGTGCTATGCACTTGGATACTGTCCTGCCTCCTTCTCATTTATAGTCCTCTCAGAATAGCAAGATAAACAGTGAGACCCCAACTCGTCTCAGCTATGCTGAGCCATGCAGCCTTGTCTTGACCAACAATGTTAGCCAGAGAAGCAGCAGTTTAGTCCTCAAGCTCAGACATTCTGATGGAAGTCCTCACTGCTTTTGATTTCTACTCAGGACTTGGTTTGGCTGTTTTGCTTAAGTTGGTTTAAAGGATAACATGGGAATATGGGGGAAAAAATGGAACAGATACCAGAAATTGGAGGGGTTTTGTCTCAGTCCTACAGAAATTTACTTTGTAAATGCCAAGGAAAACAACCCAGATTTCTGGAATTTGGTTTTCCCAAAAATAAAAGAGAAACAAGAACACCTGCTCTTTGAACATTTAAGAAGATGCCAGTTCTTGGATGTGGAAGCACCTTTCCAAGTATGGCTGTTTCTTGCTGAGCTCTGTTCTTTTCAACCTTGGCCTTGTTACATTGTGTTTGAGCCCAAAGACAGGGAGGATGGGTGTGCGGAGGGGGAAGTGGAGACTTGCTGTCTTCCCCTACTCTCAAGTGCAGTATTCTGTCCTGGGAGCACAGAATGTGGTTTGCAACAGATCCAGACAGACTAAATTAAGTATCAGTTCATTCCTGGAGGCTCTGGGCTCTCTATCCTCTTAGACTGGGTAGAAAACAGCCTTACTTGTTGCCTGGATGGAGCCCAGATCCTCTGGTCTCTTTGCTTGCTCTGTGCCAAACAGTGGACTCATGAATCACCATACAAAGAGCTGGATGGGGAAATACAGTGTCCCTGCAGAGAACAATGCCAGCACCAGGTACTGGGCTTCTGAACTTAGTATGTGCTGTTGAGCCCTATGAATATCAACAGAGAAGCAAGAGCAGCTAGAGCTGACCCCTCTGGCGTCAGTCACCTGAGGAGGGCTGCCTTAACAGATGAACGAGATTCCCAAGCATTGGAAACAGCAACAGGTCATGCCATCAGTCACTGGGGAAAATGCTCACATCTGTAACAATGGTAATAATACCCATTGTATGATTCAAGGTTCTTGTGGAGTGGGGGTTGGGAGCTCCTGAAAGAAAAGCTGTTATCATCACTCAGTTAGAAACAATGGGACAAAGTGACTCTCTGCACAGAAACCTACTGTCCCTCTGGGAGGCTCTGAACAGCTCCCAGAATAATTCCCATGTAAATCCAAAGAATGCTAATGGAGAGAGGTCACCATTTATTCCCTCTTTTAAGCCAAATAATCTCCTCCTGCTGCTGGAACAGAGTTGTTCTTGGCCCTGGGAAGGCAGTGTGAGGGGTGAATCAAAACACGATGCCTGAGAAAGGAATGCGCAAGAAATACGAAGGCAGGGATGTGACGGGAAATAACAAAGCAAAACGGGTTGGTGGCAGGAACAAAGATTAACCGTACCAGAGGAGATGGCACTTTAGCTCTGAAAATAGGGATGATGGAAAGTCGGAAGTGCAGCTGGGTGAGTGGAGCTATGGGAACACATGCATCCTTCGCCTGCCCTCTTGATAGCTCCAGCGTAGGCCTCTGAACTGATGTGTGGTGGCACTTGGTCAGGATTCTGGAAGCTGAGGCTTCAGCCCTTCAGGGTACCGGAAGGACAGTCCATCCACGTCAGTAAGGCATAGAAGGCAGCGAAACCTGATGGAACACATATTCTCCCTCCACCCTTTCTCAAACTGAAACTGCCTCCAGGGGACTCTGGCAAGTGTGACAAATGGCAGACAAATTCTTCCTTGGCACAGGGAAGCCAAAGTCGAGCACAAACATGCTGTCACAGCTCTTTGTACAGCAAATGTAGATTACAGGCAGAAATGTCAAATTCCTCTCTGCGTCAAATTCCCAAGTGCTTGTGCACACACTCCTCCAGTCTACGGCACTGGGTATAGAGTACTCGGTTCTCTGCCCTCGCCAGGACCACTCATCACACACGCCACACTTCCCACCCAAAGGCACCACTGTGTCTCCATGAGTCACAGAGGTGGTAACTTCCCAACCCTGTGATTCTTGACTCAGAGAGGACTCATACATACGAACGCTATTTAGACAGGTACCTTTCTCCAAGTGTCTCACATTTCTCATTATATGGCTTAGAGGGAAGAGGAAGGATAGATATGATCATTTGTATTTTACATGGAGAAACTGAGGCACAGACAAGCCTAAAGTGCTTCAGACACTTGAGGTCAGAATTCAGACACTTCTCACAGAGGGACCCCAGTGAGCTCTTCTGAGCACCCAGTGAACTGTTCCACTGCTTTGTATTTTATGTTTAGGATCAGTCTCTCTCCCCTCATAATGCTCTGTGTCTTTTGTGCTATCTTTGAATGTTTTACTTATTATTTTTATTTACTTGAAAGAGAGAGGGAGAATGAAGATCAATTTTGAGGCAAATCTCACAAATGGAGGGTAGAATGCTAGATTTTCTCATCACCTATTAAAAGAAAAAAAAAAACTGAACATCTGTAAGCTGAAATTTTTTTGGACCAAATCAAAATATTCTCATGTCAAAACAGCTTCAGTAAAGCGACTCTTTTAAAATAGCTGCCTCTGAAGATGTTACCTGTTTGCAGCACCTGACTTGAATTCTCTTTTATGTGCCTTGCCTTCTGTTCTGGAGTAATCTTGTGTGTGGCTCATCAGAAGAGGTGCTAACACCAGGCCACTCTTGATGCTGCTATTCCCAAGCAAGGACTACGTAGATGTCAGAGATGAAATGTCCTGAAGCACAGGATGCTAATGGCATGGCCACGTGTTTCCACCTACTCGTGAGGCAGGCTGATTGGCACTCTTTCCATCCTCCTTCCCACTCCCATCCACCAAGAGCTCTTGTTAGGTCAGAAATGCAACTTTGATGGTGCCAGACAACCAGATGATGCTGGAATGAGGAAAGAAAAAGCAAAAACAGATTTCTAATTTAAGCACAAGGCTCATTTATATAAATAAATAGCCACAGCCTAGCAACGGGCTCATAGTTCAGTTTCCCTTCGTGATGAAATGGGCTGGGCTGGAGCCCAGCATGACACAGCCTTGGAGAGCCCTGCCCCAGCCCTTCCCCGGCCCCTCCTCTCCCTGAAAAGCCAAGCAAAGGCCAGCCTCAAAGGACCAGAGGGGAGCCAGAGCATCCAACCTGGCGAGGTCTGTGTACACCCGGAGACACATGACAGTGTCTGACACACCTGAAGTGAGAGTGATGAAGTTCCCTGGGTTCAATTAAAATGGAAGCCACTCCTGACAACAGTGCTCCCCCGCTGAAATGCCTGTGTTCCTCCACTGAAATGCCTAGTGGCCAGCTTGGAACGTGGCACACAAGATGTTTATTACCTACATGAGGGAAGATTGGATGGAAGCATGATTGGATAAGTGAATGAGCACCACCATCTCATCTTTAATGCCCCCTGCTATGAGTACCCCAAATGGAATGAGTTCAAAAATCCAAAGAGGCATTCTTCTTCTGATTATGATATGCACCAAATAGTCAGTATGTTTGGTCAAGCTGTGTAAATTTAAATCAACAGCTGGGGCAAGGATTTGGCAGTGATTATGCCCCAGGTGCAGTTGGAGTGGCTGTCACAATGAGGAGGAGCAAAGGATGGGGATGCATGCATTTGATAACAAATGTCAAAATTCCTGAACTTCTATCATTTGTTAGGCAGCAGTACTCCACGGGTGAGGTGTTGCTAATTAGAGGGGGAAAAAAAAAAACCTCCAGGGAAACAAAAACAGAGCATAAACTTCTGATCTTAGTTCTGTGGGGACACAGCTGTGAAGCTCACGGTGTCTTGGGAAGCACGACATGTCAGTTGGCCGTGGTCCAAGAAATGTAATCCTGCCACAAACCATCCCAAGTCATGAATTGGCTAAGTGAGGCCAAGTTGATCCTCAGAAGGCAGTTGGAACACTGAATATGGGAGAAGTCTTTCTTAATCTCCCTTGAATCCTAGGGAGGCTGGAGGGGCTATTGTGCCTGTACCTTGGCTCTTGGAAGCAACCACTTCTCTGTGAGGTTCCACATATTGCCTAGAGATCAGAGGGTGGTCCAAGACAGCATGCCAAAGCCATCCATCTCTGTCTCAGAGACGGGTCCTGTGGTTACGTTAAATAGATCAGAGAAATTAGCCTGCAGCATCCTTCGGAAATTTGTCTTCAGACATCCTTGTCTGGCCTGGCCAGAAGCAGTAAAACCACATTTCGGTTTGCAAGAAGGCTCTTAATTGAATCCATATGTGCAACAATATATTACTGCTCTATTTTTAGAATAATAATCTGTATGGAACAAAAATTATAAACAGCAGCAAAACTGGTAGAATAACATCCAGCTTCACAAAACAACATGCAACAGAAAAACATGAGTCCTCCTCCACTCCTAGGTTTTCTCCAATCCTTTGACCTCATTGAGCTCCAACACCATAGTTTTGAGACATTGAGAGAGGGGGGACTCTGTGTGAGAGGGTCACACACAGAACACTTCATCTACAGAGGATCAGCCAGCTACAAAAGACAGCAACATCTCCTGGGTGGCACCAAGGGAAGCCCCCTCCAGAGCATACCAGTCATGGCACTCACAACCTGAGGTCTCTGCTCCGGTTTGGTAGAGGACACAGTGTGCTCCATAAGTTTCCCATCCTCCATACCTAGGGCTCTGACTCCAGATGCAAGCACTCAGCGACAAAATCCCCACCTACCTCCGTTTTACGTAGAGGCTGCAAATACTCATGAGCACAGAGTCCAAGACTCAACCCTGCGATCTGAACTGCTCAGAAACTCAGTTACATCACTCATGATATGGGGAGAGTAGAAACTATGTTCTCTATCTCTCAAGAGTGTGTTAGCATCCAATGCAACACTGTTAGGTTCAGGTGCTTCTCTATGTGCAAAATGTGGTTCTTTATGATGATATCTTACAAAGTATTAAAGTTTACAGTGACAAGTTTGCTACTTTTTTGCTTTGTTTAAAAATTTATTATTTATTTTTATTAGAAAGGCAGATATACAGAGAGGAGAGACAGAGAGGAAGATCTTCCATCTGCTGATTCCCCAAGTGGCTGCAATGGCCAGAGCTGAGCCAGTCCGAAGCCAGGAGCCAGGAGCTTCCTCCAGGACCCGAGGCCTTGGTCCATCCCCAACTGCCTTCCCAAGCCATAAGAGGGAGCTGGATGGGAAGTGGGACTGCCAGGGTTAGAAACGGCACCCATGGGATCCCAGTACATGCAAGGCGAGGACCTTAGCCACTAAGCTACCTCGCCGGGCCTAAGAAATTTGCTTCTTTTGCAAGTAATGAGATCACCCTTGTTGTAGACTTTGAAGTTATAAACAGTTGGATCCATCCCAATAGTCCCCTCCTTTTGGGAGAAACCATGGCTAGTTCCTTGGCTTCCCATACTGAACATTCAATGATGGTTTTGGTGACTATTACTGCTTTTCTGATATATATAATCCCCAAGTAGGTCCTGGAAGTGTAGAAAACTTCAGAAGCCTTCTGGTCACATGGTCTAATCCTTCAGAGGCACAAACATGTCAGGCATTTATCCCAGGCCATTGGTTGACTTTGACTTACCTTGTGCTCAGCTCCTCTCACAGTATGATGGTATCCACCTCCCAGTGTCTTTGAAATCTACAATTCCAATTCTATTCCTCTGGGTCTGGGATATTAATCTCCTGTCGGACATCAGGTCTCCAAGGACTTATGCCTTCAGACTCTAGGGCTTCCTTCAGCAGCACCTCTCATCCCTGCTCCAGTTCCTTGGGCCTTTAACCTTGTGTTTTCCCAGGTCTGCAACTTGCAGATAGCAAATTGTGGAACTTTTCATCCTCTGTAACTGGGTATGCCAATCTCTCTCTCTCTGATCTATCACTCTCCAGTATGCAGCCAACCATTTTTATATATCTGTTTCTATAGATGAATGATGTTGGTTCCCTTTCTCTGGCAAACCCTGACTTGGAGAGATTTGGATGCTTCTCTCCTGCTGTAAATGACCACATTTCCCCACTCTTAAGTGACTAGCTATTGCTTAAGTGTGTTATTTAAGATGTGGAGGGTGGAAAGCAGGAGAATAGTAGATGATTGAGGGCAAGTAGTTATTAAAGAATGTCGGTTACATAAATACATCATTCAAGATCATGCTTCCTCATCCTAGTAAATTGTATCTTTTCCTTTTATTTCTGAAAAATACATATTTGATCATTGTTATGTTCATATTAGTTTGTATTCTTTCAGAAACAACATATTACATCCATGCAAAACATGCATGTGCCTCACATGAGTTATATAAAATTGTTTTATGAGATGTCAAGAAGAAAATAAAGGATACTTAGCTGGTATTGAAGCTGTCAGTAGATGCTTACATCTTATGTTACATTGCATGCATTCAGTACCCACCTCAGCTCCTCACTCTAGCTTCCTGCTAATGCACATGCTGAAAGGTCGCAGTGATGACTCAGGTGGTTGTGTTCCTGACACCCATTTGGAAGACCTGATTGAGTTCATGGTTTCTCAGCTCCAGCACTACTGTCAGCCTTTGGGGAGTGAACCAGTGAATGGGAGTTTCTCTATCTCCCAGATGAAATGAGATTAAAATTAAAATTTGAAAGAGAGAGAGAACCTTGCCAATGACTTTTGACTTTGTTCATGGTCTCCTGCTCTTAAAAAAAATGAGGTTAAAGTAGAATTCACTGAATGGTGATTCTTCTATCACCTGCTCACCTTCTTCACAGCACATGCTGTATGTTTTTCTCATTAAACAAACATTGACAATTTTGTGTGAAGCCTCCTATTGCCTCCACATGCATCTACTCTTGGGAAGACAGATTTCTCTCCTTGTTACCTGCTCTCCACTTTTATTCTACCTGTGTGCTAGGCCTAGGGAATTAACCATTATGGTTTGCCCAGGACTGAGGGGTTTCCTAGATGCAGGACTTTGGATGTTAAAAGGGCTGTTCCAGCTGAGTGAGACAATTTGGTATCTATTAAGTCGTATGTCCTCTGCCCAGAGACCTTTTGAAACAAGCAACAGATGACTGAATTAATTCAGGGCAACTTGTATTGAGTTGCTAAGAGATTGATGTCCAAAAAGAAAACTGGAATAGGTGATTGAATAAAGTGTAGTGCTTTCATTGTAATGAAATGATCTGTAAGTAAGGTGGGGGATGTCCTATGATTCAGATGAGCAGAAGAGTGTAAAAGTGACACTGAAAGAGACTGGAAAATCCAAATCCCTCTCATCACAAAATCTAACCACTTGACAGTAAATCAGGGCACCCATACAACATAGAAAAACACAGTGGTACCTCCTGATTTCTTAACTTTATGGCACACACCTTAGAAAAAATGTAATAATATCTATAATGTACATTAAAATGAAGGAAGAAGTTACTTATGGCCAGAAAACTTCTCAGCTCTTGGCGACTGACAAGGTTGTTAGCTCACGTATAAACACAGCATGGTTGGGTAAGAATTTTTGGGTATCCGTGTTCTGTTCTATCCCAAATCTGGAGTCTTGATCCAATTTATCCCAGATTTCTAATAAAACTAGCAAAGCCTTGGCAATCAAATGCCCTCTGATGACCCAATACTGCAAATGTTCCTCAAAGGGCATTTCCCAAAATGAGTCCAGTGTGGGTTCCTGTTTACATTTCCACGCCTTTGGTCCATGTGTGCAGAAAATTGCAGGTTGAGTAATGACTTAATGATTTGAGACAGGAAGGAAGTAATCCTAAGCCACACTCAGTATGTGTTCGATTGTTTAAAAGAGAAAATCATTTAAAAAGTATATTGTCAACAGTCAGAAATTCGGAGATT